CTCTTTCCCATCTGCTGTTCTCTTACAGCAGCATCTGGGAGCTGAGAAAAACTAGAACGATGCAAAACCCGATGGAAACAGGGCTGCGTGAGCCCAGATACATCTGCCAGTGTCCACTGCATATGGCGATATACACGAGTAACATAACGTTTTAGTGCCCTTGTTAAACTCGGGATGAAAAAAACCTCAAAAAAGTAAAAAGAGAGTTTCATAGGAGAGCTCTGACTTCTGTAAAAAGATACTGAATGGGCAGTAAAACAGAAATGCATTACAAACACTACATAAATGAGGTACTCCATTTTCCTAACACCGAATTGAAAGATAGAACCGCGACCCTGTGTCTCCCAGCCCACATGCTCCATCAGGCTGGGCCTGGGCTAACTATGCAGTTCCAACAATTTTCTATTCATACTGCTTGAAAAATCAGTTGTAAGGATCTGCAGAAAAAGCCCTCTCCCAGCAGATCAGTGCTGCCCAGACATGCCTAAAGGAAGTAACTTAGTTCTGAACACTGAACAAAGTTTGTACTAAGTAGATCAGTTTTCACTGTGTTGCATCGTACGGCGTTGCGCTGCAGGTGAAAAGAATATCAATAGGGCCACAGCATCCTGACAACACAGTGAGTTTTATTCTTCAGATAAACAGCTAATGAGAGCTATTCAAAGTTCAGATCCGAGAACTGAGTAGCTTATTCATGAACTTATCCATCCTCTTATTCAACAGCATTTTACATGCTTCATTTTGAAAAGTTTCAGATGAAGTCCCTGTATTCAGAAGTTCAAAAATGAAGCTGTACCCTCATTTTGGACCTGTCTAGTAAAACAAAGGCAGGCAAATATGTAAATTTCTAGTGAATTAAAGTGCCCCATTAGGAGTTCAATTATATTCTGAAATTATGTCTTAATTGGTTTGCTCATAGATGAGCTGTACAGCTAACCAAAAATCTACTGCCATATAATCATCACTAAAATTCAGATATTGCCACACATTAAATTAACAGCAGATACTGAGTGGGAAAATTAGCTCCATTTCCATAACAGAAGATTTTTTTCCCATATTACCTAGAATGTTTTATATAGTTAGTTTCAAAATAGAAAAAAATAATACACAAACAAAACTCTCCTGAATGTCCAACATTTATGTTGATCAGAAGTCCGCACATTCAAAATAAATAGCACAAGCAGAGTGCACATCAGATTCGTGTCTCTAACATCTAATTAAAAAGAAGCCGCATTTCTAAACTCCTGTAGAAAACTTCAGATTGACCACTCTTTTACTTTGTGTGTTGCTAGCTATTTCTTTTCTACAGAACTTTTGGTTTTTTGAGTAGTAATCCCCATGCCCAACTACTCTTTGGATTTTGATATATAAGGTATTCCTGGTTATCATCAGTATCACACACAGATATTGCAAATGATCTCATGGTACAAAAAACTAGTGAGAAAGAATAAGGAATAGCATCAAATACAGAAAAAACAAGCTAAGGACTCATATTCTTGCAACTAAAAGGAGGAAAAGAAGCCGAGCTCCTTCCATACAGCTTATTTTTCACATTAGTAGGATAAATAAACTTACTAAAAAAAGTTAAAACTTAGAAGTGAAGCCAGGCTCCTGAACTTCAGCTGCTGTTCAATTACGGTTATTTTTGAGGACAAAACCTATCTAACTTATTACTTATACACAAACGCATAATATAGATTATTTTACTTACCTTTGCTGTCTGAAGGAAACAAATTTCAAAGATCTTGTCTGTAAATGATATATTCTTCAATATTTATGCCTCCAATGACCACCATCGTCAATAAGGATCTGAAGAAAAACCACCACAAAGCAGTACATAAGCCACGTTAGTTTCAACTAGACTTAGGATTTTTCAAAATTGTATTTATTTATTAAGAAGACACAAAGTAAAATTGTGCATTTCATACAACACATGAATTTATTAGCTGCTGTTAAAAGCAAATAGACAAGCACCAGAGCCATTGCATGGGAAGGCATTTATCTACTTAAGGCACATAATGATTACTCTGCATTACTGTATTTAAGACTAAATACACGAAACTAGGGAAATTCACTGCTATCGTACCAAAATAACAACAGCAGTAATAATCCCATAAGTTAAAGATTAGAAAAGACAAATAAAATTACAAATTAGTATTGAAGTGTGTTATATTATAAGCATTAATAGGTTATGAAAAGTTAAACCATCTCCCTAAACTTTGAAAAGCCAAATTAAAGGTAACTTTAAGACAACGTCCCTAAAAATGCCAGTGATGGTTTTAGCCGCCC